ATCTCTCTGCCCCGCTAGCAGAACCGACAACCCGCTGCTCCGCTAGCAGCTAAATACCTCCCCCCTTCGCTTCTTTCTCGATCGAAAAGCCGAACAAATCTAAACACCATGGGAGAACCCTCGCGAAGCCAATCTAGAGGCAGGACCTCGGCCCTACAATACCTCTTTACCCCAACGGTCCTTAAATCTAGGGCAGCGAACCTGCCCGCAGAATATACTAATTAATATTTCTATCGCGAAAACCCCGTTTAGCAACACGACACGATAACTAACGAGAATTAGGACAACGACTTCGACTAGAAGCTCGCAAGGCTCCGCCAGAGCTTAGTAATACTAGAGCTATCGTCGGCCTTGGGTTCGTTTACACTCCCTGCCTCCGCCAAGGAGCTTTAAGAGCTCTTTCTAGAAACGCTAGCTAAAATTATCGACGAAATAGTTAGCTAATTGTATATACGACGGGTACATAAACAACAAATCTACATGTATCGCCAGATCGCCGCCAACGCTCTTGCTAAGGGAGATAACGTATACGCGAAAAACCTGGCACAGGCTACTATCCTAGCTAAAAAGAACGCCGAAATCTAGCAACTGCGAGCGCGATTAACCCGCTTAAGGGACTAGCCTACTGTGCTAGTTTAACGCGCGACGCGTTTCCCCACAATACTAATTATACGCGATTTGAGCGCGTTGCCGCTAGAGAATTTAATTCTAGGTCCTCGCCCCTCTGCATACTAGCTAGCCACACCCCTAGCGTCGCAAGCGCGGGAGAGCCGACCAACGCGCTCCGCCAAGTTCCTAGATCTACCCTTGTTATTAGATGGCAAGAGTGTTACCTTTAAGCAGTAAAGAGACGGCTTGCACGACAAACTTTAAGCTAACTAGGATTAGTATACTAGAGATACGCTAGAGGATACTAAGGAAACTATTGTTGCCTATATCCGCACGCGAACCGAAGGAGACGCGTACTAGACCCTATTAGCAATACTACGTACTATTAAGAACAGTGGCGTAGCGGTTTCCCGTGATTATATCCTTAATTAGCTAGAGAGAAGCTATAGAGACCTACACAAGAGGCTAAATGCTCGCCGCGATTTCTAAAAGCTTTATTGCCGAAGCGCCACCAACTTTGCCCGCTTCTAGAATAATTTCTTCTGCCTTGCACAGGAGCGCCAGCTCCTAGTAGATTAATAGGTAGAGAAATTTTATAAGAAGCTGCTAGAGACTATGCGCACGTAGTTGGGTATATACTAACGTTAATGCGTTAATAACTATAATTACTATGTAGACCTCGCTCGAGACCTCGCTTAAGAGCTTGCCCTAGGAGAAGCACGCGTTGCCGCTAGAAAAGCCAAAAAGCGTAACGCGATCGCGTTAATACCGCGACGCGCGCCCCTAGCTCTCCTAGGTTTTCTAGCACCCGATAAAGCCCTGGCGATCTAGAAGCTAGTCACCTGTTTTTAATGCCACCAACCTGGTTACCTAAGCCGCGATTGCCCTAGGGCTCCTGCCGCGTAGAAAGCTATCGAGAACGTTAATCTAGAGGAGGAGCCTATAGAGCCCGCAGAGCCGCAAGCTCCTAAGGATGACACGTCGGGATGTGAATTAGATAATTTAGAAAAAGCCTAGCTCTAGGAGAAGTCTCCTCCCTAGAGCTACCCACTAGAGCAATTAACCTGCGCGAAAAGCTGTTTAGTAGTCCTACGTTCACCCTACCCTGCTAAATCTCCACGAACGGCCTTGCAATTAAGCTTAGAGGTTTAATCGATACGGGAGCGGGCAGCTACGTCTTAGTGCACTTAAAGCACCTTTAAACTCTTAGGAAAAACCTTCACGTCAAGCTATCGCGTATAGAACTAATCCCTCTTGCTAGGTACGATAGGCGACCTAATGGCCAAGTAGATAAGTATTTCGAAGCCGATCTAGTGCTAGAAAGCTACTGAATCCGCACTCACTTCGTGTGTTGCAACACTAGCCGCCATGATGCGATAATTAGTCGCAAGTTGCTTAAAGAAGTTAACGTTTAGGTCAACTGCAAGCAGCGCGCACTAATGTAGCTAGACACTAATCAATTAATTAATTGCAAACGCGACGCGTTCGTCCCTACACAATCCCCTTAATCTACTGCCGAAGCTTAAGCAGCTTACTAAGCCGATGCCGATCGCCGCGACGCCCTAATATCAGCGGTAGAAAAGCCAAGGGTAATACAACAAGGGAAGGGAGGATCGCAACGCCAGGAGCTTCGAGAAAACCTGCGTAAGATAGACAGGCAGCTTAAGAATCTTAACCCGCCTACTAGGTTGCTCCGCAAGCTAAAAAAGCCACCTGTTTCGCGGGAAACATGCTTGAAGGCTGGGCTCGACGTTAACACGATTAGCGCAGCTGCCTTTATAATTAACGCGCGTCGAAAAGACACTACAATTAGGTACCTCAGTGTCTACGAGGTTGATTAGCTTATTACCAATAGGAAGGAAACCCCTGCCGCCGATCTAGAGGAGAAACTCCGCCAACTAGTTGCCAAAAAGCTCCCATCCCTAGGATACGCCGGCGCAACCGTGGCCCATTTCTCAAAAAAGGATTCTAATACCCTGCCGCCACATAGAGAAGGCGTGGATCACGACATTAAGCTTACGGCGGAAAATACCCTAACAAACAGTCCCCTTTACAGCATGTCGCTAGAGCACCTGCAGTTAGTGCGGGATTACCTAGAGGACTACCTTCGTCGCGGCTTTATCGTCTATAGCGATGCGTCATACGCGTCACCAGTCCTGTTTGCTAAAAAGCTAGGTAGGGGATAGAGGTTCTGCGTTAACTACTAAAAGCTCAACGCCATTATGAAAAAAGACGCCTATCCTATCCCCCTTATCTAGGAAACGCTTACACGCCTGTCGCGCGCTAAGGTCTTTACTAAGTTAGACGTAAGGCAAGCTTTCCACTAGATCTAGCTTAATAAGTTAGTAGAGGACCTAACGTCTTTCCGCACGCGGTACGGCAACTATAAGTATTAAGTCCTGCCCTTTAGCCTCTGCAACGGCCCTGCTACCTTTTAGCGATATATTAACAAGGTGTTGCATAGCTTGCTAGACGATTTCTATACAGCATATATTAACGATATCCTTATTTACTCAAAGGATCCGCTTAAGCACGAAGCCTATGTTA